CTTATCCTTTAGGCCAGGACGACTTCAAACTCCTTAGACTAAGAGTTTAAAGCGATATTTTGGTAAAAAATTTGACGAAACGGAGGCAATTACATTTCTAAACGTTCAGTTCATTCAGATGCAGACAACAGCAAACTATTCATATCTCGTGTTTTTACTCAAACTTACAAACAAAACATACAACTAATAACCTTATCGTAATGGAATAAAACATAAAACTACCATCGATATTACAAGGAATCGATACAACTATATTTACAAATACACTACTAATACGTATGTATTTACATAATTAGATATATTTCCAAATCACATTAAAGACAACACTACAAAGACTAAAGCCATCAATCGACTTATTACATAGCTGCTCATTAATACTCCGTGTATCAAAAAAAAACTATTTATAAAATGTTAGAAATCATAAATTTAATAAAAAACAATATAAATTTGTACCTAAGTTAATCGAAATACTAGTGAAATTGCTGATACTTAGTAAAATATTTACGATTCTTCAAAAAACAAATGTGACAAATGAGTCATCTATTATCAAAGGTGGCAATCTGTGCATTTGGACAATTTTTTTTTATTAATATGTCAATACAGATTGATTTGAATATAATCGTCTCCTTCAAAGAATACGGTTCAAAACCTGCATTAAATAAAGGTTAATAGTTAACCTGTTATTTATCTAAGATGTCGTTCCGAAGAGTTTTGTGACTGCCAATGGAATACAAAGTCAATAATTCGTTTTTCTGATTTACCAATCATTGTCCAAAAGTCAGATTGCCGGCTTTGATAATAGTCGACTCAAATACTAGGCTTCTTTCATAATAAAAATATATATAATTTTTTCTTTTACATAACATAATATCTTGCATTCTTAGTATTTTTATTAAACGAAAAATTTTCACAGTAAGTCACCGACACATTTAATCCCTAATTCGATAATAAATCAATAAAACAAAAGATTTACGCGGAGATGTTTTTTTTTTTTTAATTTGGTAACACTTTTTGTCGTAAGAACAACAACAAAAAAATCAATCGCCAAAAACAAATACCTATCCACGTTACAGAGACTAGTCCGAATAACTCTTTGGCAGATGTTACTTAATATAACTTAAAAATAAACTTTTACATGAAGATTGTTTGTCACAAATTTGTATGCGATTTTAGTTCTATTTCTAGAGCACGCATTAATCTAGTTTTTGGGACGTCGAAATTAGTGTCAAAATAATTCTGAAATTCGATCTTAGCGCCACCTACCGAGTGTAATTGTTCAGTATCTTGACAATCCAGAGACTTACGAAGACTCAAAAAAAATTATATTGAATTCGAGCCAGCCGTTTAGTGACAAACGCACGTACATGTTACAAAATGAATATTGTTATTTTTATTCAGAATATATTCACGAAATTTTGTTGTACTAAGAAAAAAAATGTTTTTTTTAACATAAAAAAATGGTAAATCTATGTTTAAATTAATAATAAATAAGATTAATCTAAATGTCGAGTTTTCGGTGGTTATTGTCGAACATCGATCATTGGGCAAAAATTAGCGCCTAATTAAAACACATACAGTCAAAACCGTTTACTGCGACATCGTTTAGAACAACATGCCGGTTCTAACAACCTAGAACAAAGGTCCCGGCTGAATGCCATATGACCGCCTTATTAAAAACATTGCTTTCTACGACATTGCTTATAACGACATACCTCATAAAACGACCACATTATCTAATATTTCGGAGAATTAGATCTGTTAGAACGACCGGCTAAGCTGTATTGTAAACAATTTGAATAGGTATCCACTTTTGTCTTCAATGGCTATTAAAATCAGGAAAGAAAACAATAGGTTTTAGTTTAGTGTAGTTAGTTAGAAACAAAACACGTGCATGCAGTAGAGTCAAAGATCGCTTCTTCATATCTCTTCAGTTAGTTTATTTCTTATCTATACACAAGACGCACCAAAACTTTGTGCAGTTATTCGTGAAACTTTCAAAATGTCGCAAAGAAAAAGAAAACAAATTAATATTGAAGAAAAATTGCGTATTATGTAAATATATTTTTCCAATAATTCCCTATCGATTTGTTTGTACTTGCACGATACACATTAAGCATCACCGGTTGTTACGACTATCGGTTTTTACGACTGAATATGAGCAGTCCCTTCGATGTCGTTATAACAGATTTTGACTGTATTTATATATAAGAACTGCCGTGCTGGTCCACGGACAGCAGCACGTGTTCAGTAGAAAACTAATATCTGCACTTCCACACATAGCAATAACAACTATAGTCAAGCCGGAACGCATCACGACACAGCAGTGACAAGCGACGGACGGAGGTATCGACCCGTGCGGGCTTACATCCAATTCATTTATACACATCTATATACAATACAAAATTACATAATATTTTACAAAAACAAACATTTATCTAAACTACACTCGTACTACCTTCGTTCTTACCAAAAAAATCTACAAATACATCGAGGCATTAAATATTTGGATCTATTGTAAATTTGAAATCATGGACACCCTATATGCCTTGAAAAAAAATTCAAACTACACTTAAATTCTAGGACACTTTATTTTTTTTTGTCTATAGTCCTCGCAAAAACACCGATATGTCGTGCTTGACTTTCGTCAGTGCATTTATTTATAACATAACTTTTTCAGCACAGTTTTTATTTTTTATTCTAGAAATGTCGTTTTAGCTGTCAACTGTCAAAAGTAAATAGACCGTGTACAATAAAATGAATACATACAATAAAATTAATTTAATATTCAAGAAAACCAATTTCATTTTCAGAATATAAGTTACAATCAGTAATAATTATTTATTCATCCGAAATTTGTTCTTATTCAGTCTCGCTGTGACTTTTTTTTCCTACCTATGCTAATAGCCTTGAGAAGCTATTTCAGCTTCTCCTTAACGTGTAGGTGAGCTCACGGAGCTCAAACCGGGAGTGTTGCTAACACTGGCCCTAGTAAAAGCAGTGCTTCGCAGAATTTACCACCGGATCGGAAACGCGACCCACTGAGAAGATCCAGCTAGAAACTCAGTGGGCTGTGTCTGTGGGTTAATTCACTCGTCGAGCCCTTCGTCGCAAGCGACGGGTTCAGCGAGGGCAGTGACCGATGCTTGTGGTACCTAAAAGCACTGTTTAATGGATCGAGAGGATCCGTAATGACAACCGCTGTGACGAAACACAATGCACGCTAATGTCTTTAGCGTTTATAGGCAAGCTGAACTTCACTAATGCTTTCAGAGTATCAATATCACTACTACGTGGCTAATATCAATGCATTTTAAACAACAAAAAAATTCGAGCTTCGTTTTTATAATAGTATATATCCAAATAAAATGACAATTAAAATCACAAACACAATTGTCAGTACAACTGTCAATACAAGGAAACTAACTCATTTGACAATTGTGTTTGTGATTTCAATTGTCAAACGAGTTAGTTTCCTTTTAACCACTTATTTCAATTTTCCTATTAAAGATTACAGCGCAAATCATTTATTGAATTCATTCCGCTATGAAAAGTTGCTAATTACACTACTTCCAGTTCTGTAAAAAAAAAATTGACTATGATTTCCCCAATTTTATTGTTTCATGTCTAATTCGTGCATGAAACAAAAATCAAGTCGATCATCTTGTTTATTCTAAATAAATAATATATTATGTACTTATATTTACACTTATATTTAAAAATAAATAACGAAACACTATCATATTGATAAGCAAAGTAATAATTTCATTATGGCACTCTTTTGTTTGGGTAGAAGGTATATTTCAAGACTTAGTTTTTTTTTTTAATTCTAAATAAATAAAAATCCATTTCTGTTAGTGAATCAATAAATTTTAAATTAATGAACGTTTTCCATTTTAAATATATGTAATTAATCCATTTTTTAACATACATTATGAATGTAATATCTAATTATTTATTTATTCACTTACAAATACTATAATTTAACCATATTTATATAAATTGATTTCGTAATACAAAATTAATTGATAGTCAATATTATATAGATGCGTTAATGTGTACCAAAAGACGATCTATGAATCTAGATACACGACTATAGATTCTACAGTAATGCTTTATTCTGAAACAATCGAATTTAACCCTACATACCCTGGTAATAGGGACGAATTCCCATTTCAATATCTCATACAGCCTTCTCTCCGTTTTATTGTCCACACCAATCGTTGGGCGGTATTTGAAGCTCTCTTACAAAAATTATATAAGTTAATCGTTTCATTTTACGTTTACCCGCCCTGGCAACAATGCGGGTACATAGTTGGCAAATGTAAAATCTCTTTATTCGCGGGGTGTATGTTCCGTAAATATGCCGCGTATACAGAAACCGTTAATTTGAAATGCTAATTTTAATTGTGTTTTAAATTCATTATTTAAAAATATACTTTACGTACTGAGCAATAAGGTTTATTTCTTTCTGTTTGTTTACATTATCAAAAACGTCGATCGCGGCGAAAGACGCTTCCGTCAAAGGAACCAATACAGCGACGACAAAATTTAACAACATACTTTAGGCATAGTTGTAATAAGGTCTATTTTCTTTTCTATATTAATTCACTTGACGACGCGTTTACAAAGGACATTTGGTTGGATACGTACATATTGGAATCCTTTTTATCAATATGTATGTACCGATATGAGCCGGAATGAGGCGTTCGCTCCTGGCCCTTTCATTTTTCATTATTATTATTATATTTTTAATTGTATTTTTGACTTGTTTTTTCGTTTAATGTAAATATTTTTACTTATTTAAAAAAAAAAAAAACAAAAGTAAATATTTGTGAAAAAACAAAAACCCGCTGAGTTTGTTTCGCCGGTTCTTCTCAGGACTGTGGCTTTTTTTGGAACCGGTGGTAGAGTTAACATGGTTATTTATATTTTGACATTCAACAAGTGTGTTATACTGACATCTAAGTTGAAATCGCGAATAAAGCAATCTTTAGCCGCGAATGAAGAATTGGGTCGCATTTTTTTTCCGTGAAAATGCGAAGGAAGCGCGAATAAAGGGCTATTACTGTACGTAACTTCAGTAGATGAAAATATAGTTATTCTCGAACTTTAAAATCAAAAGCGCATTTGAAGTAATGTCCAAGGCCAACAGGCACTATTTCATTATTATGTTTGTTTTATAAAAGTGCTTCAAATTCCGACCACAATCAACCCTTTAATAATCATCGTCAATTATTATATTTAAAAAGTGACCATATTCGTTTGATTTTAATCGTAAAAAAATATTAACTACTTATTGTTAAAACGTTTACGGTCAACCATTTTTTCAATTACAACAGAACGTACGCATCAATTAATGACCACATCCACACACATGCGAGTGACATTAGAAATGACATTTCACTGTCACATAATAAATAAATAAATCGAAATGTCATCTCGTCAAAACAACAGTTTAGTGTCACAAACAATATTGACACTCGTCAATATCAAACCTGTCAATGTCCCAGTACTACTAGCTGATCGATGTCTTTTTCGTGGCGATTTCTAGAAAAATCCACAAACATTATCTAACTAAGTAGATCTCCTCCTAATAGACAATTATTATTTTTCCGTTCGTTTTAATTGAAACCCAATGGTTTCTCATTCGGAGCTGGGGCTTAACTAGTTCGCTCTTCCCTTCCTCAAGCAGCGGGACACATCACCTCCATTTATAGTGAAGATCTTGACATTGACAATGACTATAGACAATTATTATTTTCTGTCCGTTTTAATTGAAATCCAATGGTTTCTCATTCTGAGCTGGGGCATATCTCAGTCGCTCTTCCCTCCCTCAAGCAGCGGGACACATCATTTCCATTTATGATCTTAACTATAAATACTAGTGATTCTTAGAGTTTAGCTGAAACACCGGGCCTAATACAGAGCTAGGAGTGGTCCCACGTACCGCGCTACAGGGCGCCAATGTCGGGGTAGGCGTGCGGCACGCCGGCCCCCGTCTCCCGGTACTGCAGCGGGTCGGCGCGGAACTCGACGGGGCGAAGCGCCATGTGCCCGTAGGCGGAGGCGAAGCGCCCCACGCAGGCCGAGCGCTGCGCCATGTGCTGCGCGTCCGCTGACAGCATCTCCGTATTGGTGCACTCCGGACACTTGAACTTCTTACGGGGTGTAACCTGGATTGAACAAAAAAAAATGTGTGGCGTCGTGAGACACCGGATAGGAACGAAATTCCTTATAATAAAAATACTAATTTTAAGTTCTATTCGAGGTATAAAGAAAATAAAACTGGAGGTTTCGCAACAACTCACGGTCATTCGGTAACGTGCGAACTTATTGTGGTACACTTCATTCACGGTTGTTTGCATAAGAGTTAGTAATGTATTGCGCAAACGAACGCTCTGAGATCGTGGTCAATGAATGATAAAAAAATATGTAATTTTTTGGACGTCATTACAAAGTGAAGTCGTACACTGTACATTACTAATTTGTACGTTATTACAAAGTTAAGCCGTACACTGTGTGCTCTACTAATAAAAATCTTACGTTACGGACGTTTTTTCCCGGTTAGGGTACCCCTCCGCGTCGTCCCATAAGGAAATTTGTTCCAAAAACAAGCTTTTTTTTTATTACTTAGATAGGTGAACGAGTGAGGAGTTTGGGAGGTTTAAAAAAAAACTTTATTTTGTTACACGCTGAATTTATTTATCCTTTACAAGAGTCCCGTGTTACACGAACAGAACTAATATGTTATGAGCTTGAAGATTGATGTCGAACTCTCAAGTTTAGGAGTTTCAAGGAGAAAGTTTTCTTTTATTACTTAGATGATTGACGAGATCGCAGCCGAACTGGTGTTAAGTGGTGGTTACCGGAGCCCATAGACATCGACAACGTAAATCCTGCCACCCACTTTGAGATATGAGTTATAAGGCCTCAGTATAGTTACAACGGCTGCCCCGCCCTTCAAACCGAAACGCATTACTGCTTCACGGCAGAAATAGGCAGGGCGGTGGTACCTACCGGTGCGGGCTTATAAGACGTCCCACCACCCATAAAACATTCGACACCTTCGCAACTACAGTTTATCTAAAAGGATCTTATTTAGATTTTATTATTACTTGGACGAGTCAAGTGATCAATCGAAGACATCACAATCGTATATTAATATCACTACATAGTATAAAACAAAGTCGCTTTCTCTGTCCCTATATCTGTCTGTCCCTATGTATGCTTAAATCTTTAAAAGTACGCAACGGTATTTGATGCGGTTTTTTTTTTAATACATAGAGTGATTGAGGAGGAAGGTTTATATGTATAATAACATCTATTAAATAGTTGAGAAATGTATAATAAATTACAGTTTCCGAAGCGAAGCAAGGGCGGGTCGCTAGTCTATTATAATTATAACTTCACGAGTGAAGCATGTATGTCATATGTATGTCAAAAAATTCTGTTAACATTGCCAATGCTCAGGAGCTAAAGTTAGTCCTTTCCACCAATAATTCCACAAACTATCTACCTAACATTTGACACGGTATTGACACGGTCAATTGCCAATCAACTTTTAACAAACAAAACCACATTTCATTTGTTTCGTATAAAAAAAAAGCATCAAACCGTCACGAATAAAAAACTCTTAGTAGATTCCAAAAAATCTCACCTTGATTGGAGGTTTTCTGGTCACGTTAGCGACGAGGAAGTTCATGGCTATGTCTTCGCAATTGAAGTTGTCGTCCACCCACGTTCTGATCTCGGACGGCATCTTATACGTGTAGTACCAGGACCAGATCTTGTGGTGGAACGCGGCTCCGGTTAAAACCTGGAAAAGTATTTCGCAAAATCATTCTTCCTGATCGCCTTTCGTAAAGGCACTTAATTGTGGCCCAAGCCAGCTTTGCCCGTTAGAGGAGCTCACGCGTTGAGTAATCCCATAACATGCTATGAGCAGTAATCACCATTTCTTCGCCTATTTACACCATGACTTATCTCTAAAAATAGGTTACGATGTAACTTTGTAATCTATACAGCCCTTCTACCGGAAACATGCTTTCATTACAATCTAATCGAGTCATCGACTTCACCTCTCATTTATCTAAAGACCTACCAGATATTTTAACGGCCGTCTGGTGTAGTGGTAAGTGACATAGGGTCACTAAACAAGGGGGTCGCGGGTTCGAATCCCGCCAAGGGAAGATATTTGTATGATAAATATAAATGTCTTTTCCAGAGTTATGGATGTATATTAAATATATGTATGTGTATAATAAAAATCTTACATATATTTCCGTTATCTGGTACCTGTAACACAAGCTCTTTACGAACTTATCACGGGACCAGTTAACGTGGCGTGATTGTTAGTAAATATTTATTATATTTATTTATTTCATGTATAACGTTTACAGTCCAAACGTAATTGCAGAGGCATCAAACACTAAGTTAAAGACCTCCTAATCTAATCTACTAAGTCGTCGATAGCGTAAAGATGTCATCTAAGATAAAACATTCGTCGGGTCGTTGACTCGATATGCGTTTTAACATTATTGCTTTTTTTTGCCGTCCTATCCTAGTAACCATAAGGAGTTACACTAGGTTTACCTAACGTGTAGGCGAGCTCCGGTGATCAGCCAGGCGAATTTGCTAATAGGGTTTGCTAACTAGCCCAAGGAAGGGCAGGGCTTCGCTGAAGTGAACCACTATTACAGAGCCGTCATCAAACGCTACGAAACGATCAAACGGCGAACCTTTTAAATGAGATTAGAGAGACAATCAGTGATTGGGTCGTTAGATTTAAGAGATTTCAATCTCAGAATTCACTCTTAAGCTTAGTGCCAATTTGCGAATAAATTAGATGATAAACTCAGCGTGCTCGTTTCGCTTGTGATTTACACTGATCGTGTTCTTTGGCGTCGTAATAATCATTTATTATCTTAAAGTATTGTAAACAAATACGTAACTATGTAGTTAAAATAATAAACGAAGATTACAAAATCGATTATTCAAATTAACGGGTTCTTTTAACGGTATTCTGTCGGGAAATATTTGGAACTAAATAAATTTTAAATCGTGGTAACAACCCGTTAAACAACAGTGTGTGTAATGAAGACAGCCGTGAAAGTTTCAAACAATTCGTAATCAACTTAAGATCGCTAGACAATCGGAGCTGAATCGCCAATAACTATACCGCTGTACCCAGACATTGCCCAGAGTGGGTTCTTACGTAAAACTACCCCCACCAGCTAAGCTAAAGATTTTGACTTTGACGTATTGAAAAACCAGAAGTATGTATTTTGATTTGGGCCGAAGAATCCTTTGTCATAGGCGTATCCTATGCAAAATACGAACTTGATACCATACGATCCGAATACGAATTTTTTAAAGGCCATCGCATTCGGCCCGCTTGTCGGTGAATGGTTACCATCGCTCGCAGAAGTCAACAATACCAGCAACACATCCAAGCTTGTGCCTCATTTATTATTAGGTATATTAATAGGTGCTGATTTATTAGCATTTTCCAAAACCTAAATTAATAACAATCGGATGTTAGCCATGGCTTATCGAATCCCGACCAATCCAAACTTAGCCGTGCGTATTATATACTGCTATACTAACAGAGGCAGGTCCCCTAAATTAGTGCAGTAGGATGGCCTCGACGAGGGAGAGATGACGGGACATCGTGAGACGCGTCAATTCTACCCCCTCAAACACTACATGACCATAGCATAACCACCATCAAAAGTGACACGATTGAGAAGATGTTGACAGAAGCACTTGTCTTGTATCTATAATATGAGATCGCTCACGCCGCGCTCTGCCAACACGACGCCGATAAGTCGGATGGTATAAACAAATTTGACACACCAAACAAAAAGCGGTCTCGCCACAAGCATTCATTCAAATTGAGCCAATTGTACCGAACTAAAGGTCAAATCTTAATTAGGCCCTTCTTTAGAACGTGTCCAGATTGTACGCACATCTCACAATCATTGGTCAGTTTAATCTTGTCGTTCCTTTAAAGTATAAACATATAGATTGATTGATTGTTACGTCAATGAGCCAACGAATTGAGGGCCGGTTGGTTCGTCATCATATGTTAAGTTTCTGAGCGTCAAAAGGTCAGCGAGCGACGTCCGCCATGACACGTTTTATCTTTCAAATCTAGCCGCCAAGAGCAACACATCAATTATATATTTCTCTAATATGTATTAAGTATTTCATTTGTCATATAAAGGTAAAATAAATATCTTAAAACAATAAATACAGTCCACGCTCAATTATCACAATGCAACATTTTCACATGTTGCGATATCCCTGCCTACACTCCACCGGCTGGAAAACGCAACATTTGTGGTTCCGACACGGAGAATCGAACCTGGGTGAGAGCCAGGTGTCCAAAGAACGTAACCATTATTATTTCAGACGAATCAAATACTTTATGTTGGTGACCAAAGCCTAAGGTGTCGATATTTGAATATTTTTTCCGACTACCGTCTAATTCAATACATTGTTTTACAGGGTAATAAAAGTAGCTTCAATTATATCTACGACTTTCGGAAACCGAATAAATATATATTACATTAAACTCTTGAACGCACAAGACCAAACGTGTTAGAAACAAAACAATAACTTTATAAATAGTTCGGTTTTATTTACTCTCGAAGGGCAGACCCTCTGACGTCAGAGCATCACGAGGATGTTATTTTTATAGCTCGTGTCTATTTCCATTTTCCCGAATTACGAGTCTTTATTTGAACTAAACCTACGAGCAGCTAAGGAAACAGGTCACTTTACGATATGTATCGACTTTGACTATCGATTTATCACCGAATGAGCTGTGAGTTTGTCCGCTAATAAGGATCAATAAGAAAACATTGTCAATATTTATCCCGCAAACGCATATAGAACGAAAAAAAAACTATCTGAAAATCTCAGCAAAGTTTCTCATCCTATGAAATTGGTGTTGGAAAACACACTGACAGACGAAAAAGTAAAAGTTTACTTAAACCGCTTTTACATCTCGCATACGAAATGGTAAGTTATTGGTACTGTTTTGCTCAGACACGGTCCTTTTTTGGCCATTCAGCCATTTCGGCAACGTATGGAAAAAAAATGTATCACACAAAAAAAGACTACAAACAAAAATGAATTTTAATGTACTCACCATAGAAATCTGATTAGTCCATTCGCTGTGGTAACGCCACGAATTAGTCGCGTTATCCCAGAGATGGAGTCTCGAAGGGAACCCGACGATCCGGTCCGGAAACTCACGCCATACGTCAAAACTGAAACCAGAGGGGGTCGAACATTTTTTTGGGGGCATCAAGAAATAAAGCAGCTCAAGACCCAATACTTATTAAGCAGTTACCTACCCACCAAAGCCGATACTCATTTATTTACTTGAAAACCAACAACTTTAAAACATAATAATTATTGTAAGGCCGTTTTTAGAAGAGTTACCAAAACTATATCATAACGTGAAAGTTATCACTCGCCTTGAAATATGAGGTCTAAGTCTCAATAAGGGCTCTCCTATCCTTCAAGCCGGAAAATAAGAGCACTTAGTAACAGGTATAAGCAGGATGACAGTACTTATCCGGGGGGACTTGCATCCTGCATCCTGCTCCCTATGATCGAAAGCATTCATTTGATTTAGACGTTATTTCTATCCATAGCGTATCATATAATAACTTATATAATACATTTATCTCGTCTTAACTGGTTATTTAATTTAACCCCAAATAACGTCACACGCACTGAATAAAATAAAATAAATAGTTTCCCGGTACCCTATCGAGTTTAGAAACAAACTTGTGATCTTTATTTTATTAGCGTTGGTGAGGAAAGGAGCACGTCACGTTTGATGTTTAGGCAAATGTGATAAATTAAACGCAGCATGAATATCGCCGCAAAGTACCCTTACAACCGTTGTTTTTTTTTTTTGGATTGAAGGAATACCAGTGGCCCTGAGGCCTTTCCAGTTTCACCAGGACAGGTGGACGAGCAGGGGCTCAGCCAGGAGGGGCGGGATTTGCTAACAGCTGTCCGAGCGCTTCCAGAGGAGAACTAGAAGTCGTCGTGGCCTAAAGGATAAGACGTCCGGTGCATTCGTATCCAGCGATGCAACAGTGTTCGAATCCCGCAGGCGGCTACCAATTTTTTCTAATGAAATACGTAAACAACAAATGTTCACAATTGACTTTCACGGTGAAGGAATAAATGTAATAAAAATCAAACCCGCAAAATTATAATATGCGTAATCACTGGTGGCAGGACCTCTTGTGAATCCGCACGGGTAGGTACCACCACCCTGCCTATTTCCGGCTGCCCCATTTCCGCAATGGGGCAGCCGCTGTAACTATACTGAGACGCATGGGTTAGGTTGCACGTCGAACTCTTTGCCGAGTTCGACGAGTATGCTTACCATGCCCATTTGTACGGAGAATAGAACATCTCAATATTAACGTATTTCAAGTATAAAGAAACTATAACTAAAATACTTTAGTTTCGTTCAAAAAATAAAAACTTTAATGTTCATGTGACGACAAATAGCAATAATTCGCGTTAAAACTCACGATAATTATTTAAGGTCGTTCGATAATGACACGTTAAGGTCAACGGCGCGCGAATCGATACATTACCACAACAAAAAGCCCGTAGTAATTTAAAACACATTCGCCGAATTATGGGGAAAACAAAAACTTTTGTTTTTTTTTTTCGTTCTTTCGTACTAAATATTGCACTAGCGTTTTTTTTTTGGTTCGAATTAGTTTAGAATTTATGTCCACTACCGCTAATCTATACATGTTAAAGTCGAATGTTCCCTGCAAACTCCGAAACGCTGGACCGATTTCGAGGAAATCTACAGTTTTTTTTTTATTATTGCCCTTGCAAGCAGACGAGCATACGGCCCACCTGATGGGTGAGTGGCTACCGTTGCCCATGGACTTCGGCAATGCCAAAAGCGGAGCCAGGCCGCAGCCTACCGTTAAGTACCCCACAAGCCTCTTTTGAAGTGTGCTTAGTGCGAGTTTTTAACTTCACGATCGCGTAAAAGTTAACTCAAATTTGAATGGAGTTGGAACAGAGGCCCTACGTTAGGCCTAGCGGGTGATGGAGCTCCCGCGATGCTTGGTAGCGATTTGCCACCAAAGCGAGCCAATTTTGACCAGTACATACAGTTTGAGTTTGACTTAGCTTAATAAGGAAGTTTTAAATCTTAAAACATTTACTTTGCTATCGATATCATCTATTTTGGTGATTATAAATTCGAGTGGAATGGATTAGGCTAAAATTATTACAGTCCGGGCACATTCAGCATACGAAGTCACAGATATAATGACGGTAGCTATTTTCAAAGCCGTAATGGAAAAACCGTACACTCTAACATAAATACAGATAGAGCATAAACTATTAACCCGTAACCTAAGATAAAATCGCGTTACCCAAGGTTGTTGACTTCGCGCATCGGCAAATTCACAACTGTGTTACATTGCGTATCGAAAAACAGTAGAGATAATATTATATTGTTAAAAAAACAAAAAAAAACACGCTTAAATAAAAAATCTAACTAACATTCATTTTTTATTTACCCTATTAATACTGGTGAGGATATAATGGCGAAGTTATAAAATGACTGTATTATTACGCCGGTAAGAGTAACGCCATGTGTTGTCGAACAGCAGAAACGAACATTAAAAGAACTAGTGAAATCGAGAACGCTCGAAAAGTGCAACGCCATCTATTAACAAAAAACGGAAACATATCGAAACTACTCGAAATGTCAGGAATGTTCTCGATAATTGTAGAGATGTTGTAACGACTATAAAAGCGTTGCAGAGATGACACGAAAGCAGTTAGTAATCGAATCTACTCGAAACGAAACAGCGAACGGAACACCTGAAGCGAAGCGGAAGAAGTGAATTAAGAATTATAAAGTGTTTTGTAAGTGTTAAACAGAGTTTTTATTTGTACTTCGGTGGTAGTTTTATTTATCCCGAACCCCAGTGCGTAACAGTATTTATCGTCATCAGTCCTTGATGTCATAAAAATATTCAAATTAATCAGACGTCTTGAAGTTGTTGATAATGACGTTCAAAGATTTCGTTATATACAAACTTAAATACATAAGCTAATACAAGCGTCTTAAAATAAGTTTTCGATCGCCCAATTTTGATTTTTTTTTCCTACCTAAGCTGAGAGGCTTGGGAGGCTATTTCAGCGTAACCTTAACTAGTAGGTGAGCTCACAGGGCTCAAACCTGACAACGTTGCTAACATGAACCCTAGCAAGAGCCGTGCTTCGCAGAATCTACCACCGGTTCGGAAACGCGACCCACTGAGAAGATCCGGCGAGAAACTCAGTGGGCTGTCTGTGGGTTAATTTACTCGTCGACCCCTTTGTCGCAAGCGACGGGTTCGATGAGAACGATGACTGGTGCTTGAGGTACCTAAAAGCACCGTTAGTGGATCGGGAGGATCCGAAATGACGTGTTTGGGGCGACGTCGACTGCTTTCCATTCTGTTCGCAGGATCGGGAATGTAGTTACCGGCGGCCACGATGAGAGGGTTCTCGTGTCGTGCCGCTTTATTGAAGTGATAATTTTGAGATATATCGTGTTGACAATGACAATCACTTACCTACCGCTTCGCCTATAATAACTACGAACACTATATACATATCATATTCAATAGTAAATGTTTAAACGGTGACAGTTTGACGGGCAGATCGCGTGACTCACAAAAGTATTTCTGATTCGCTTTCGTTTCATATCAATGCGATACTGCGACAAGGTGTTCAGCCATAATATTTATGTTTCACTACGTTAATATTGTCACGCTAGCATGACTGCGGCGATAAATATAGACTATATCGACGGAAGAAAGTGGAATTGTCGTAACTAGAAAAACGTAAATTTACGGTAGAACCATAAAACTATTAAAAAAATTCATAACTCATATTATATTTATAGAGATAGCAAGTTGAAAAAAAAAACATGAAAATTTTTATCGTAGGAAAATGTGACTCAAACCATACGAAGCTTTATTTTATTTATACGCACAAGAATATGTTGTGAACATGTTCTGAAAAAAAGTTATTTAGTCCAAAATGCAAGTTACGACATTTCTGTTTTCTCCCGTCGATATGAAACTACAGTTGAAATGAAGTTAAACTCACTTCATATTGTGACGGTAGCCATCGTACAACTTGAGATATTTGACAGATGCCTTTTTTTTATTGCTTAGATGGAAGGACGAGCTCACAGCCCACCTGGTGTTAAGTGGTTACTGGAGCCCATAGACATCTACAACGTAAATGCGCCACCCACCTCGAGATATAAGTTCTAAGGTCTCAGTATAGTTACAACGGCTACCCCACCCTTCGAACCGAAACGCATTACTGCTTCACGGCGGAAATAGGCGGGGTGGTGGTTCCTACCCGTGCGGACTCACAGGAGATCCTACCACCAGTGACTGCGGACTCACAAGAGATCCTACCACCAGTGATGCCTGATGCCTGAATCGCGCTAACGACATTTTCAAGATTAGCCTACATATCGACGCTTGAAAGGCAAACGTGACTAAGCGACAATAACTGCTTTGTACATAAATGATAGGTAATAACCATATTCGATGCGCAAAAAAAATATATTTCTAGGTCTATTAAAATCATTTCAATCCTACAGCTAGATTCGTTAAAATAGGAAAATTTTCAGGTATTTCAGCTTTAAATTAGTCTACTGTAAAGTTCACGCATTGACGCTTAGTCACGTTTGCCTTTCAAGCGTCGATATGTACATAACAATAATTCTTAAAAATTACTTATATAAGCGGAACACATTTCTATAAGATATATAAAAAAATTATATCTATATTTTCTGTGGTATTTGTGAGTCGTAGACACCACTGAGAATAAATTTTACGGTTTATTATTGTTCATTATAGATCGATGGGTGTAAACTGTAAGGCTATTTAGTTTAAGCGACATTTCGCTTAACACGCGACATTTATCTTTGTAATTAAAAGTCCATTTTATTTGGTATTAGCATCAACAGTTCAACGTTTTTAATTGAACTTTATTAAACTTTACTCTATTATAGTAGACAAAGGTTTTTTTTTGTTATGATATTTTTTCCAAATATTTACTTTAAACAGCTCTCCTGTAGAGTTGCAGAATAGTCACTTAAACCAAATAGCCTTTCACCCTTCGATATGTATAAACAAGTTCCAAACAATAATTGTCGAACTACCGAAGATGATCTTTCCTTTGTCTTTACTTCTCAAAGACTCAAATTTCTTACCTTGACTAGTATCTACCTATACTAGTATCTATGTAACAGAATCTTTCAACGCAATTCTCACCGAATTCAAAACATCAAATTTTAAAATTTGGACACGCATCAAGTACCGATGACAATACAATAATTTTATTACTTTAGCTCAATATCTTAACGAGTACCATCAGGAAAAAAGGAACGATTAATTCCTAGTACAGCGTGTTCTTTTTTGTTTTTGAACTCAAACATATTATTTCTTTTGCTATTTGCTAGCAATCATGCTCTTTAAGGGTCATTAAACATTTTTACAAATACAAAGAAAGAAATATAACAAGTATTATAACATTAACCAAATGGTGTGGAGCGAAAACTTCCTTCGCATATTGTATTCTAAGTATTTTTAATTTTTTAAATCTGTTTTCTAACACAAATTCAATGTTATATTAGTATTAATAAGCGCCGGTGGGACGGGCTATCTACTTTAATCCGGGTGGCTAATCCACCCATGTTCACAAAAAAAAAAAAAAAACTAAAAGTACTCACCCGAACTCCAGTTCGTCGGGCGTCAACATGACAATGTCATCGTCGATAGTCAACTGACATTCCGTTTCGATCTCGTCGTATGGAAAGAATCTGTTCGACAATTTGTTTTCTTTCGTCCGTATCACTTTTAACGGTTTATTGATGACCGGCCACTGGGCGGCTAAAACAAAATTTAATAGAGCGTTAGATATTTATTAGAATATGCTTTACTGTTGATAATTTTAGAAGGCGTCGAGGCCTGCGGGATAAGACAGGCCCACTGAGTTTCTCGCCAGATCTTCTCAGTGGGTCGCGTTTCCGATCCGGTGATAGATTCTGCGAAGCACTGCTCTTACTAGGGCCAGTGTTAGCAACACTCCCGGTTAGAGCCTCGTGAGCTCATATACACGTCAAGGAGAAGCGGAAATAACCTCTCAAGACTATCAGCATAGGTAAGGAAAAAAAAGATAAGACATCCGTATCGAACGACGCAGCTGTGCCGGTGTTCGAATCCCGCAGGCAGGTACAAATTTTTCTAATGAAATACGTAGTTTTTTTCTTTGCATAAATGGGTGGACGAGCTCACAGTCCACCTGGTGTTAAGTTGTTACCGGAGCCCATAGACATATATAACGTAAATGCCGCCACCTACCTTGAGATATAAGTTAAGGTCTCCGTTTTTAAATAACAACGGCTGCCTATTTTTACCGTGAAGCAGTAATGCGTTTCGGTTTGAAGGGTGGGGCATCCATTGTAACTATACTGAGATCTTAGAACTTATATCTCAAGGTGGGTGGCCGCATTTACGTTATAGATGTCTATGGGCTCCGGTAACCACTTAACACCAGGAATACTGTGAGCTAATCCACCCATCTATGCAATAAATAAATACAAGATATTGTACGTCAATTTTAAATGCTAATGAGATAAATGTTACGGTCGCGAGGACTGAACCCGCCTTCCGAAGAAACAGGTTGTTGCACGTCTGTTGATACCGCTCAAGTGCAGTCTTATGTAAACGCGCCATGTGTATTCTTTACCGTGGTGTGTTTCACTCGTATTACATCGAACAGTGTAGTTTTTGAAAAAACTCTTTTAGACTTATTAAGTAGGATCGCTCTGATGCCGGGGGATGGAGGGGGGAGGGGTTAGAGATTCAAATGGATACTCGGTTGATATTATTGGTGTAGAGATTTGATCATCATTATTATCAACAGCCTATTTTAGTGTTGGACATAGGTCTTTCCCAAGGCACGTTGCGCGACCCGACCCTCACTCAGCCTTTCGTCTCGTCTACCCCAACGGTTATCGGTTCTTCTACAGATATTGCCCTAAACACATCATTACGGATCCTCCCGATCCATTAACGGTGCTTTTAGGTACCACAAGCACCGGTCACCGTCCTCGCGGAACCCGTCGCTTGCGACGAAGGGCGCGACGAGTAAATTAACCCATAGACACAGCCCACTGAGGTTCACGCCGGATCTTCTCAGTGAGTCGCGTTTCCGATCCGATGGTAGATTCTGTGAAGCACTGCTCTTGCTAGGGCCAGCCTTAGCAACACCCCGGTTTGAGCCCGTGAGCTCACCTAATAGCTCGGTGAATTTAGAATAACCAACTCTTCGAGGTTACTAAAATAGGTAGGAAACTGCTCTTACTAGGGCTAGTGTTAGCAAATTCGCTCAAATTGAGCCCGTGAGCTCCCCTACCCGTCCGCGCGTGGCTGCAATAGCCTCTCAGGCTACCAGCGAATAGGTAGGGAATAAAAAAAGCCAGGCGTGAGTAATGGAAAAAAACGACTCCTAACATAAATACAGTAAGCAGTGCAACAAAATGTATAAGCATAGTTGCAGTTTCTTGCAGTTTCCACTAAAAACAACGGTTTGACTCACTCCGTATTTACATTCCAAGGCATCTGTTAATTAAACACAGTGTGGAAATGTAAAACACGGTGTAGTCGAAATTCAATCTTATTGCTAAACACATGAAAATCTATTTTCTGTTGTTTTTATTATCCATTGGATCGAAAACTGTTGTTTATCTGTTTGTTTTCTAGTGATTTGTGCGTTATACCACTAATTATAAGGTTGAAAGTTATCCCGCAAAATACATGTCGTATGCATTCCGCCGTGTTGTAATTTAGTACGGTGTGATTTTTATTTGCAGGTCTGCATTGATACATTGTTTTTATTTACATTCACTTTTTTATAACCTAACTACAAAAAAATACACATAGCCCTCCTATTTTTAACTGGTGGTAGGACCTCTTGTGAGTCCGCGCGGATAGGTACCACCACCCCGCTTATTTCTGCCGTGAAAGCAATAATGCGTTTCGGTTTGAAGGGTGGAGCAGCCGTTGTAACTATATTTGAGACCTTAGAACTTATATCTCAAGGTGGGTGGCGCATTTACATCGTATATGTTTATGGGCTTCAGTAACCACTTAACACCAGGTGGGACAGTACGGTTCCACTCTAACATGAAAAGAAAAATTCCCAAAAATTCTCTAATAACACGATACTTATACAACACGATAACGAAATGCTAGTTTAAAATTATTTAAAAAAATTACATGCACAATATTATATGGCAATATCCGAAATTTTTATTCTCAGCTGTGAACATTTAGCATGACTAAATGTTCACATGGTTTCACTTTGTTATGTCTGACACACTTGCCCGGGTTTTTATCTTATCACCATCTTGTCTTAACACCATGCTTACTAATTTTATTAGGCATGCTAACAGTGCTACCACTTTTTAAATAATATCCTGATTTTAGGCACTGATTGTGATGTCTGTTAAAGATTAGATTAGTAAATTATCAATGAGTATGGGTTTGAAAGATACTCACATGGTGGAGGCGCTTTTTTTTGGTTGTTCCATATGACAAGGATCTTGGCTAAGCTCGGGGTGCGGACTAGTTTCTTGACCAGCGTAAACAGACTTTCGACCCGGTCGTACGTTAATATGACCGCAGTAAAGCCTGGTGCTTTCGGCGCTGTCACTGGTAGGAATAGTGGATTCGATGGACCATACTGTGAAGTTTACAATTCATTATCATGGCTTTCCATATAATTTCAATATGTTAGTTCTTAAATTTTACTGCATTTTTAGCAGAATGGGTCATAATAATAATAGCATTTACATATATATTTAACTGTTTAACTGGTGGTAGGACCTCTTGTGAGTCCGCACGGGTAGATACTACCGCCCCGCCTATTTCTGCCATGAATCATTAATGCGTTTCGGCTTGAAGGGTGGTGCAGCCGTTGTAACTATACTGAGACCTTAGAACGTATATCTTAAGGTGTGTGGCGCATTTACGTTATAGATGTCTATGGGCTTCAGTAACCACTTAACACCAGGTGGGCTGAGAGCTCGTCCACACATCCAATCAATAAAAAAAAAATACAAATAAAAAAAACCCTTCAAACCGAAACGCATTACTGCTTCACGGCAGGAATAGGCAAGAAATATGGTGGTGCCTACCCACGCGGACTTACAAGAGGTCCTACCACCTGTAAATACTACCTGCCATTAAGTTTCAACAGATCTCCATAAACATCCTCCATCACAACTTACTGTCGTATATGTGGGCGAAGTAAACTAGTAAAGAATACGCCAAAAAAAGCCTTTATTTTTCTTCTGCAAAGTTACTCTAAGAAAATAATATTTTTCAAAAAGCTACTTTAAGTTACCTTGTGCAATCAAACTTTTAAGAATAGTAAAAATATAATGTACTTTACCAAATGTTCTGGCATGTTCCATTCTTCATATGTCCTAGCTGCCAACGGGAACACTTTCTCGTTAATTATTTCTAATGTTGCTAATGTTATCTTCTCTATACTCGCAAAGTATTTATCATAAACCCAACGCAATTGCCAAAACAATTCACCACGTCTCTCATTACTGACTGAACTGATGATCTTTAACAAATTCTTTATGTTATCTTCCGGTATGAACATTGCTATTCTATGCCAGTCTAAATGAGAATTGAATGGCATAACTACAGAATCCGATATAACCACTGGTATGCACTGTGAGGCGATGACATCCATTAATAATGAATGAGTAAGTCTTGCACTTCTTACAACCAAACAAAACAAGCCCTCTTTCAATATATCTGGGTAATTAAACTCACGGCCTGTGGTGTATTCACATCTTTTAGTGTAATCAAGTACATCCCCAGTTTTACATTCGTCGAGTAATAGTAAATCATTAGACGACGATGCAGTACTCTGTAAATCTTCAAGATAATTCTCGGGGATGTTAAGTTGCGCTGATATTATCAGATAGTTTTTCTTTTTTGGTTGGGTATTATCAATATTTTCAGCAATTTGGCTATACACTGGTACAGAAATGTCAAAGCCATAGCGGAAAGTCCATGTATTAAATCCAGCACCTGCTATAATTGCTTTTGAAGTATTGAGATCGATGACTGGATTGTAATTAGGCGGTGATCCAGGCAGCATGTTGAACAGTAGGTGGTTTTCACCATTATTCCAACTGTTACAGAATTAATCATTTTTTAATAATATTGAAAAGTTATGAAAGTATCTTTTTAATGTACACACTAGTATTAAGTGGTAACCGATATAAATGATCAGAATTCCACCACTGTGAGATAAGAGGATTTACTCTCATTTGTATAGTGGCATATTAGCTGTGTAAGTTAAAAAATGGCAGTTTCACGGCAGGAATAGGCAGGCTGGTGCTACCTATCTCTGCAGATTTAACTTAAATTACTCTCTGTCAACAATAAATATCAACAAAATACTTAAACAAATAAAGACTTATTGGTCAACATAGCATTTGATGAAAATATTTATACAACAAAACATACCATCAACTTATCTACATATATAAAAATGAATTGCTGTCCGTTAGTCTCGCTACAACTCGAGAACGGCTGGACCGATTTGGCGAATTTTGGTCTTGAATTATTTGTAGAAGTCCAGAGAAGGTTTAAAAGGTAGATAAATATGAAAAAGCTCGGAATTTAAGAAAAATAACAATTTTGTTTTTCCTTTTGTTTTAAGTTTATTTTATACAAAAGTTTAGGTTTTTTATTTATCGATTGAGGCACTACGAAGTCTGCCGGGTCAGCTAGTACTCAATAATTATCCATAATCTTGTCATATGGTATACTCACTGAGAAAGAGATTGCAAAGCTTGTGACACTTCACTCTTAGAGAAACTTGCTTGATTTAATGTGTCTATGCTAGGGACCAGCAAACACGCTTCCTCTGGGTTTGTCGTATAGTACTTGCTGTGTTTTATTGTATCTAATATCAAGTAAAATTCTCTAGAAAATTGCGATATTGAATTCCCATTCTCAGTCTGATAATCTTTTAACGGATAAATGTATATGGTTATCTTATCATGACCTCCTCTCCCGCATTTGTAGACGTCGAAGCAATCCCAATATGTACAATTCGCAGATCGAATCTGCGAAAACGGAGCATTGCGTGATAATACCACTTTGCTTCTTTTATTCAAATCAATAGACTCGTAAACACTAGTCCGCGGCAAAGGACCACTAAACGCATTGAACACCACTGTTAACACTAAAGATATCACTATAAACAAGAGCAGTCCCACAAAAAATCTATGATACAAAAAATTTCTATACGGTAAATACTTAGAATGCTTGCTCGCTTTCAACAGCAAGTCAGCAGCCATTTGTGATCTGAAACGTTATATTGATCCTGGCAATTCGTTTGCGGTACCCATTATTGATAATTCACTTAATTCTCATTCAAAAATGATAAAACACTTATCCCAGCTGCACCTAACTAACTTAAACGAAAGAAAATTGACGCACGACTGACAATAAAATTTGACAGCAATCAGATTCCAAATCGAAATGTCAAAATTTTAGCAAATTTTAGAACGCTGTTCACACTGCTGTTTCTAGCAATAGCCTGAAGTATTTTTCAAGACGTATTTATTTGCGATAACTTAATTTAGTGGTGGTAAAGTACTTTGTGTGTCTGCGAAAGTTCCTTTCTTTTATCCTAGCTATGTTCGTCATGAATCATTGAGTCATGCGTTCTTGTATAAAGGACCAGCTGTTAAATAATAGAATTAAATCTTTGTCATAGCCGAAATGGACTGCTAGTTGTAACCTTTATAGGCTTCGGTAATCACTTAACGTTAAGTAGAATGTGATTTGGGTATACTCTACTAGAGCAAAAAAGCTTAATGCTTATCATAGGATGCAATTTTGTATTGTTTATATGATGCACGCCAGCTGACTTAACCTAATAGGTGTGTGGCTTTAATAAAGAATAAAAAAAAAAATGATGCACGCCCAGACATTAAATAAAAGAATTATAAATTCACATGAAAAACGGATGAAAAATGTAATTATTAATATTAAATGCTCTTCTAAAAAGAAAAAGAACAATAACAATAAGAAGCTTAATAAGGCAATTAATAGAGAAAGGGCAAATAGAAGCAGTATCTCGATAAGTTCAAGTCAAACTGTATCTTTTAATTATTAATGAATAACCATTTAATGGTTTGGTAATTAATTAAAAGGTTTGGTCTATCTTAATAGATCCCTCAAAGTATGGGTAATAATAATACACTACAACATACCTGTTGTATCTTTTTCGAAATGTTTTTACATACACATCATTCCAATTTTTTTCCCAACCTATGCTGATAGCCTTGAGAGACTATTTTAGCTTCACCCTAGCGTGTGTAGGTGAGCTCACGGAGCTCAAACCGGAGTGTTGCTAACACTGACCCTAGCAAGAGCAGTGCTTCGGAGAATCTACCACCGGATCGGAAACGCGACCCACTGAGAAGATCCGACAAGAAACTCAGTGGGCTGTGTCTATGGGTTAATTCGCTCATCGAGCCCTTTGTCGCAACGACGGGTTCGACGAGGATGGTGACCGGTGCTTGTGGTATCTAAAAGCACCGTTAATGGATCGGGAGGATCCGTAATGACGTGCTTTGGGCAACGTCGACTCTTTACCATTCGGTCTACAGGATCGGGATCATTCCATAAGCGGCACTGTGATGAATGCTTAAAATGTTTTGAGATGATTCCGTCATCTTCTTTTTACCATCAACATCTACCACTGACAGAAAGCTTATTCCTGTTAAATTTTCTAGTAACTATTTACCATCACGTGGCCTGTATTCTACCTTAGAAGATAATAAAAAAATTCGGATCCGATATAATTTAACGACATTATGTAAATGAAGAATTTTACTCCAAACATTAACTACTTACATTAACTGAAATTTGGTATATTTTGTGAATCAAGAAATCTGACTAAAAATTATGATGTGACTGGAAATGAAATTAATAATGTGATCATTGTGAAAACTTCTTAATAAAAATCGTTTAAAAATATAATTATTTAACCTAACATTTAAATTAAAATTTTATTTTAAACATATGAAATTAAATGAATTAAACGCAAGTTTTTGATAAAATTGACAGTTTTCATTAATATTATTTTTAAAACGACTACTACTACTGCTTATCATTGCTAGGAGAAATTAGAATGCTAAAGATTCAGAACGAGACCTACTGACAACACTGTTTTCTATTTTTCTGTCAGTTTTGTGTTGTGCGTAGTTGTGGTTTAGTTTCTAATGGCTTAATTAATTTTGTTAATCGTTTTAATTTCTAATTCCGACACAAGTTTTGGTTTGAGCTTGTCCAAAAATGGCACTGCTTCCTCCGGATCCTGTTTACACTATCCGAAATGTCGATAATGTGCCAGTTTATTCACTGGCTTTCAGTTTTTTACCCGGGGGCTTAGAGAGGTTACTAGCCGGTTCGAAAAACGGTTATGTTTACGCATACAACCTCCAGGTGAGTTCGCATTATTTACAAAACGTAGTTGCGCAGGTGTTTGGCAAACGCTTATGTTACACTTCTACGTTCAATTTCATTTAAGATTAATAATTTTTGATCACCCACATAAGTGACCCAAAAAAAGTTGGCTAGTTCCCCAATTCAAAAACGCCAACGCATTTAGCGTCAGCTACACGATTCCCTACCGTAAGCCTCATTATATCCAAATAGATCTTTTTAAAATGCTCATAAATAATTCAGAATGTAGTTTCAGCAATAAATCTGAATATTTTATCATGTGTTGTAGATTGTTTGTTAAACCCAGATCATCATGCGATAAAATATTTGAATTTGAAACTAACATATTACATAGTCTTAAATTTAAATTCAGGATGACATTTCCATTTCAACTTGAAATAATAAATATATGTGTTGCAGACAAATAGAGTTCAGCAGAAGATACAAGTTGGTCAAGCTCCTATTCTTCATCTTATACACACTGACAGCCACCTTATAACACAAGAGAAAGGTGGAAAGCTTAAGGTCTTCGAATTAACGAATAGTGGTTATGAAGAAGATGCCGTAATTGAAGTAGATTATCCTGGTTTTTGTAGATTCGAAGCCAACACAAAACTCGCATCACTCTATGTACCTGAGAAGGATTACAAAATAAACATTTACAATTTTAATGGAGAAAAACTGGGTTCCTTAGAATATGATGATGCATCAGTGAAACTTGGAGATGTCATGTGTCTAAAATTCATTGAGTTCCCATGCGATAGACCTTGTCTACTAGCTGGCTACGAAGCAGGTTGGCTATTGTTATGGGATCTCAACACCAATAAATGTATCAGCAAACTTCAAGTTCTAGAGTGTCCAATGTCAGTTGACTACCACCTTGAACAGCAAAGAGGAATCATAGGCAATGCTTCAAATGTGATACAAATATTTAATTTAGGCAGAAAAGACTTAAGTTTGACCCTTAAGTTGGATGTGACTATTAAGAATCCGGGCATCAACAAAGTGAAGACACGGAGTGATGGTAAAGTATTCACGAGCGGAGGCTGGGATGGACACATTCGTATATTTTCATGGTTCTCAATGAGACCCTTAGTAGTCCTTACAGAACATAAACAGGCAATTCAGGATGTTGCTTATTCTACTGAAAAAGTTTCACTTTGGAAAGCTTATATAATGGCAGCTGGAGGTCTGGATGGTGCTATCACGTTGTGGGATTTATATAATAGCAAGCAATGAAATGATCAAATAATGTTATACTGTGATTTGCAAGTTATGATCTGCCATAGTCTATGCCAGTTTTGCCTTTATACATCTACTAATGCTTTAATTGATTATATTTTTAGACAGCATTATAAACTTAGATCTCATATTATGTACAAATTTATGTAGAGGCATTATATTGTGTTGGTGTAATGTGGCCGAGCTATGTAGATGTTAAGCTAAAAAGTTAACAAAAGATAGAAATTCATATTTTCCAGTTATTTTTAAACAGATTAAATACTTTGAATATACTTTTTTGTGTTTCTGTCTCTATTGCCTATTCACAATTTATTACATTTATATCCTTTATATATCAATGAACACATTGTATATGGTTCATGTGTGGCACTTCTTTTAAGATTTAAAATTATGTATCATTGTTTGAACAGCTTATACTTCTTGACAATGACCGGTACATTATTTTGGAACAAAAGTCTTTTGTGTACTTTTATCGCATATTTCCACATTAAATTAGATGCTAAACATATGTTCAGATTGAATGAAAAAAAAAACAAGTTTTATTATGTACTGATTATATTTTTAATTATCTATCGAAATACAAGTAAACGATAATTTTCTAATATCACATTAAAAAGTGCCTCTTAAATTATATACAACGACAAAAAAATTTTAATATTCCTTAAAGCTACGACTAGCGAAACGAAATAATGAACTCTGTTCAGCTTTATCATGCGTTGTGATATGTATGGACGAATAACTACAGCAACCCATTAAGCGCGGCTTACACTTCCACAATTTTCCTTGTTTTAGGAATGAGAGCTTCGTCATCAGTCTGTACCTCCATGAGCCTTCGCCTTTTACGTAGCGGTCTCGTAGATTCTGCCTGCTCTCTGGACTTGGTGACGATCTTAGCCATTTTATTGCCAAGTCTCGTTATCTTAAACTTTGGTAGGGTCTGCTCAGGGTTTCCTGTCTCGTTATCTTCGATTTCCATTCGATTATTGTCATCGGTTAGTATACGTTCATGGAATTCATCATTTTGTTCAGCGAGTGTTCTAGGAGTGTTTGTTTCACCGGGCTCACTATGGCCGTTGGACTGTTCTTTCCTCTTACCGCTATTCATCGTGAAATCTAACGGACCTTCTGTATCTTCGGGAGCTCTTTCCGTCTTAACCTTATTATTGCAATGAGCCTGGATAAAGGACGTCAGTGGAATTGGGATCGGTATCGGTATTGGTACGGGCAGAACTACCGGATACGGCACCAGAACAGTGACAGGCGGCGCCTGCCCCAATGGCGGTGGGAAGTTGAGGGGCGGCGGCAGTCTGGGCCTCTCGTGGTGGATCGGGAAGCCAGGGCGCGGCATAAAGTTCAGTCTCGGCGGGAAAATGTTCTGGTGCCTGATGTCGTGGTGGTCGACGTACATGGGGGGTGGCATTCCGAACATAGGGTTCGGGAATTGCGGGGGTGGCGGTCCGGGGTGTTGGCTGATCGCGTGCGGCGGCGAATGTATCGCGTTAGTGATCGAAGCGGGCGACGAGCCCTCCGAGGGGCTGCACATTCGGAGGTCTTGCGCTTTCGGCGTCGCGGTCCGCTGCCGCGCGGTCTGAGACGTGACGGTGGCCGAACACTTGGACGTCCTGCGTTTGCGTAAGTTCATTTTGTTTCTAACGTCTTTCTTCGTTTCCGGCGATTTCTGCGTCGGAGCCATTTCTTCGGTTCGTTTCTTCATGAGTTTCGCGGTGGGCGCTACGGTTATCAAGGGCAAAGGCGATTTCCTAGTTGATGACTTTTGGATGTCCGTCTTTTCAGTCGTTTTGTTGGCGGGCTCTTGGTTGGGAGATCCGGAACGTTCAGAGGCGGGTGACACGGAGCGACTTCTACAGTTCTTGAGCCAAAGTTCTGGCGTGATAAGATTGGACGATGACGAAGCGTTGACCAGATGCGGGTTGAGGTCTAGGTGCGCCTGTGTCTCGCGACAGAATATGTGCATCTTGTATTGATTGAGGCACTTGTCTGAACAAAACTGTAGCTGCGTGGCTCCATCCTGAAATATAGAAATTGCATTATTTGTATTAATTGATACTTGGCATCATTAGTGACGTGGCGCACAACCTCTTTGACAGGGCATAAGACCTACAACGACTAGACATAGACTAAGACAGAGACTTGACAAGAATTCTAAAAGAGACAAAGATAGAAATGGAACGAAGGCGGACGTGACTAGCGGCAGGCAGCACTTTCAATGTCTTCACGGACACGGAAGACGGACACGAACCAGACGACAAGCAACGAATTGGCCGTTCTCATATGTATATAAAATAGACGACAAAAGAACGAACCGACCGTTCATATAGACAGGTAAGTAAGCTGAGGCTTGGCTTGTGCCCTTCGATTTGTTGGTATCCATGAATGACATTTACACACACACAGATGACGTCTGTTAAGTTTAATGCTACGTCACTATGTAAACTCAGAAAATTACCTATTCAGGGATAGTACCTACCTACGCGGAAAAACCAGATTAATATACTGAAATGTAGTGATGAATTGCGAAATTCCCAAATAAAATCTGTAGAATGTTTCATTTCAATATTCGACATTCTTTTTTTTTTTTTATGATTCAGAGATTACTGGCCCGAAGGCCTTTCCAGCTTCACCAGGACAGGTGGGCGAGCAAAGGCTCAGCCAGGAGGGGTGGGATTTGCTAACAGCTGCCCGAGCGCCTCCGAAGGAGACCTAACAACTCAAGAGCAATTGCTTCGCGAATGAATCTACTACCGGATCGGAATCGCGACCCGCTGAGAAGATCCGGCGAGAAACTCAGCGGGCTGATGCATGGGTTAGGTTGCACGTCGACCTCTTTGTCGAGTTCGACGAGTACGATTACTGGGGTCCCTAAGCCTGCTCCTAGTATTAGAGCTGAAGGCATCTAATGCAAAGGTTATTGGATCTGATGCATCCGTAAAGACGTGAGTCACTAACCATTAGCATCATTAATGGTCTTTGACGTTAATTATTTTTTTGCTTCAACGCTTTATAATTCATATTTTATGTTCTTTTGTTTTTATTATAGATAGAAGAAGAGTGAGTAAGTAGGTGTCTCATTTTTCGTGATCATGTAACAAATACACAGGTTTTAAGAAACACTAATGCCTGTATGCTTAGTGCGAGTTTTTTAACTTCTCGATCGTTACTCATAGTACTAAATACTACGTAAAAGTTACTCAACTCAAATTTGTATGGAGTTGAAACGTTTGCCTACGTTTGCCGCTAGGCGCTGTTCCAATTCCATACAAATTCTCCATAAAAATCCTAAGCGCACTGCTTAGTGCTTAGATCATGCATTACGATTTAACCGATAAATCACCCGCTGTATCAATGTTTTGACTTTATGTGTCTCAAAATGGGCAGTGGATTTCGTCTGCCCATCTTAGTTTAATATGCAATAGCCCAAAACTCCTTACCTGGAAGTCTACGTAGGCAACAGTATGTCTAACGTGCCGACACCAGTCGCATGTCTTGGCGCGTTTGAAATTAGCCCTCCTGGATTGACTGAAACACAATTCCGAGCAGAAGGTTGCTCCCGCGTGTTGGAGCGCGCCGCTTTCGCTCGTAATACCTTTGTTACACCACGAACATTCATCTGGAATCAAAAGAGGAAAAGAGGTATTAGAGAAGAAAACTTACTGGTGGAGGACCTCTTGTGAATGCGCACGGGTAGGTACCACCATCCCGCTTATTTCTGCCGTGAAGCAGTAATGCGTTTCGGTTTGAAGGGCGGGGCAGCCGTTGTAACTATACTGAGACTGTAGAACTTATATCTCAAGGTGGGTGGCGCATTTACGTTGTAGATGTCTATGGGCTTCAGTAACCACTTAACAACCAAGTGGGCTGTGAGCTCGTTCACTCATCTAAGCATTAAAAAAGATAAGGGAGATTTTAAAAGTTCATCGGGGGTTCCTTTCGCAGAACTATAACCCTCATTTCAATATTTCCAACACTTCAACCTCGTCTTCATTTAGACTGGGAGGTCAGAGGTCATCATTTAGTTGTTATCTACACTAATAATATTATAAAGCTGAAGAGTTTGTTTATTTGAACGCGCTAATCTCAGGAACTAGTGGTCTGATATGAAAAATTTGCCCATTTATCGAGGGGTTATTTTTATCTTTTGAGAGCTTCCGCTGCATGCGCTGCAGAAACGGTTAAAGTTTCGCTAAAATAATGTATGACAGAATTGTTCCCCTTTAAAAGATCAAGAAAAAAGTCGCCGACAGCATATGTCTATATATGAAGGTTGGCTCACTATAAAGTTTGTTATGCTAACCAAATTTGTTCTAAAATAAAGCATTATTTGTGAACTCCACGCGGACGAAGTCGCGGGCAAAAGCTAGTTAATTGATATTTTGATCAAACTGAAAAATATGGTCATAGAAAACGTATAGGTACGTATTCGAATTCAAAATTACAATCTTATTGCATGAGGGATACAAATTATAATTTTAGTTAATTAATATTTACATGTTCCCGCCGTGAACAGATATCAAAAGAACAAGCTAGAATGAAATGACACCGCCCGCGGAACACGATAGCAAGTCGAAATAATTCTTTATTGTAAATCACGAGCTCAAATATCTATCTCCAATTAATTTGCGAATGATATTGAAACGGGAAAAAAATACGACGCGAAACTAAACACCGGCTTTCTCATTACCGAGCCCGCCTGATGGAGGACACTGATAGCTCGTTAAAAATCATATTAATTTACAATACTTATTTATTTTTTAATTCGCATAAATCAATTTACCGATTAATCAAGTTCCTTATAAGGGTCTAGTCAGATTGGTCTAACTTCAACTTGGATCACGATACATTTTATGCACGCATTACATACCTTTGTCGGCAAACAAGTCCTATGAGCAGACAGTCGACACTAAATACTTTATAATGTATTAAATGTCAAAGTTAAGTAAGCACTCGTAATCCTGCGATTAGTCTTCACGTCAAATATTCAGTGTGCTTAGTGCGAGTTTCTTAACGTTCACGATAGCGTAAAAGTTAAGACATTTTTGTATGCAGTTGGAACAGCGCCCCTAGCGGCAAACGTAAGCAAACGTTCCCATTCCATACGAATATGAGCTAACTTTTACGCTATCGAGAACGTTAAAAAACTCGCACTAAGCACACAGATGACGTCTGTTAAGTTTAATGATATGTCAAACTCAGAAAATTACCTATTCAGGGATAGTACCTACGCGGAAAAACCTGATTAATATACTTAAATGTAGTGATGAATTGCCAAATTCCCAAATAAAATCTGTAGAATGTTACATTTCAATATTCGACATTCTCAAAGCCGAGCGCACTGTGTATACCTACATTGTAGTCAAAATGACGGCGTCTTCCCTGGATTCATATATTATTGCTAAGAAACCTATGAAAATTCACGATTCAGATGATGTTAAACATATGATTTTATAAGGAATGGGTTAATAATCACCACGATGTGAATACAGCGCGCACGCTTTAACCAGTTAGAAGTGAGAATTGCATTTTTTCTACATCCTAAACACACAGCCCACTGAGTTTCTAACCGAATTTTCTCATGGGGTCGCGATTTCGATTTCGATCCGTGTGCTTAGTGCGAGTTTTTTAACGTTCTCGATAGCGTAAAAGTTAACTCAATTTTGTATGCAGTTGGAACAGCGCCCCTAACGGCAAACGTAGGCAAACGATCCCATTCCATACAAATATGAGCTAACTTTTACGCTATCGAGAACGTTCAAAAACTCGCACTAAGCATACTGATGGTAGAATCACCGAAGCACTGCTCTTGCTAGGGCTAGTGTTAGCAAATCACCTACCAGCTCGCGCGTACTTGGAATAGCTTCTAGGCTACCAACTTGTATGTATATGGTGTGTTTTGTAAATGTCGTTTGGCAAAAGTCAAGTTACTGACATATTTCTTCGGTGAATGATAGCAATCCGTACAATTGTTAAGCGGCAGAAACTTGATGATGATACTCGTATAGTTTAATTGAAAAATTATCAGATTACGTAACCTTTTATTTGTTAGCATTCACGAATATCTGTACACTATAGGACTCGAAGTTTATTTAACTAGCGTCAATTAGATTACACTCATTTTATTTTCATTCGTATCTAGTTAATTAAACAAAATATAAACTTCATTTTATAGATTTAAAACGGAGATTTATAAATTTACGTGTCTTCAAAATCGTAACACGATACATTTTTTAATAATCCCATTTAAACCGCAAAGATTACGTTTTCACTTGCGCCACACCTACATCGGTATCTGTCCGCAAGACTGTTTCACAAACAAAGCTATTTCGTTCAAGTAAAATAATCTTTCGAATAAGTTTTTCAGTGAAGTCGTCGAATACAAAAGGACAGGCGGCATATTTTATTTATGGAGGGGAAATGCGATGATCGATGCCCACATCACTACTGGGTGAAGACCTATCTGGAGTGGGGAAAAGGGGGAAAGTTTGAAGGGGGGAAGTTGTTCCTCCAACTTACCTTGGCATTTATAGTACTTTTCTAAGTGGTAAGTCGTCTTAAATATCATTGAAATGCGAAATTGAAGCATTTTAGTGCATTCTATGAGTAGACTAGCGCGCCGCTTAGTTTTACATGACTAGACTCAAGTCCAGGCAATACAATATGAATACCCACCGTCAAAGACGAGATGACTTCAAATTGCAAATGATACTGATATTTTTTTGCGTTATTCAAATTATTTTGTAAAATTATTAAAAGTCCTTGGAATTCATCGACAGGAGATCGATCAACATTTTCGTTATATTATCATCAATGATTTGAAATACATATATTATAAATCTCTAAAGGAAATCTAATCTAAATTTTTTCATTGTTAAGCTAGACACCAATTATAATGGACGCAGCATTTCGCACATTTTGGCCCCAAATGACGCCATCACCGGTTTTTTTTTTTTTTTTTTTCCTACCTATGCTGATAGCCTTGAGAGGCTATTTCAGCTTCACCCTAACGTTTGTAGGTGAGCTCGCGGGGCTCAACCGGAGAGTTGCTAACACTGACCCTAGCAAGAGCAGTGCTTCGCAGAATCGACCACCGGATCGGAAACGCGACCCACTGAGAAGATCCGGCGAGAAACTCAGTGGGCCACGCCATCACCGGAATGAGCAGTATTAGCCTAGAAATCTTGAAATTTAAATTGACAACTAAACAGCGTTTTAAAACCATAGCTACAACTAGCGCGCCCCTAGTATAGCACGGGGTTATAACCTATAAAACAGGCGAATTCGCGGCGCGTTCATTAGGAATAGTAAACCGGCTTAGCGGTATCAAATTCGTAAATAATGTTCCTGAGCGTACATCGAACGAATAGGTATGGATTGTGTTACGTATGTTCAAAGCTTTTAGTTATCCCGTTGTTCGGATATTCAATACTACGTGTTCAAAATATTAAATTTGTAAACCTTTTTTATTTATTATATAATATCGATAATTTTATCACATTATAAACGATAACAACGTCAACTTTTATCCGGCTTATGGCTCGTTGTATATTATCACATAATAACATTTAAGTTCCTTTGTCGTGTTGTATCAAACAGTTGTCGTCACCCATAGACAACAGAGGTCAATGAAATTGGGGGTTATCTGTGGGTTGAAGTTAACGGATTTCCTACTCTTCAAAGTACATTTTTTTTTAGGATTGAAGTATTACTGGTGGCCGGTGGCCTTTCCAGTTTCACCAGAACAGGCGGGCGAGCAAAGGCAGCCAGGAGGGGTGGGATTTGCTAACAGCTGCCCGGGCGCCTCCGAAGGACACCTAACAACTCAAGAGAAGCTGCTTCGCGAATGAATCTACTACCGGATCGGAATCGCGACCCGCTGAGTAGATCCTGCGAGAAACTCAGCGGGCTGGTGCATGGTTTAGGTTGCACGTCGAACTCTTTGTCGAGTTCGACGAGTACGGTTACCGGGGTCCCTAAGCCTGCTCCTAGTGTTAGAGCTGAAGGAGTCTAAGGCAAAGGTTATTGGATCTAAGGGATCCGTAAGGACGTGACAAACTATATCACAGATGTGACTGCTTTATCATAATATGACGTGAAATCTAGATTTGTCCTTGGACGCACCACGAAACGAAGCAATAAAAGGATTAAACAAAAAAATACTGTAATTTAAGTCTAATAAAAATATGTGTAACTAAATTATGTTTCTAGTAAAAAAACCAATTACATTTTTCACTTAGTAGGGAGTATATTAATGAAACCCTACTAATTCTTAGAAGAAATATCTATCGGGAATGTATTAGTATGATTAGAAGCTTAATTTCCCGTGACAGTCGAAAAACCGCGGGAATAAACAATTCTCAGAAATACAGCTGTGTTAAAAAGAGGGTTGCCTTTCCGAGAAAATAATCATTTATTTCAATGTAAATTGTTATGATAAAGTGGTACATAATGTACATGTCGAAATTGATTGTAGATTAAAAATTTTTAATCACATCAGCGTCCATATGAGGCGTGTTGAGATTAATGTTTTGAAATGCTTGACAAGAAAAAATAAACGAATATCTACGAACATTTCAGAATGTTTCACAATGCTTAGAACACGATTATAATAATTCCTCACATTATTACAGTAACTAGAGGTCCCGCAGTAGTCGAAATTCGACTATAATTAATTAGAATTGTAAGTTTGTACACTATTATGATTGTATTTTCAACGCCAAGACTACACCATAGAAAAATATTAATAAAGACAAACAATATTTAATCTATTCTCAATTTTACCACAGACGTCAAGAACAAAAGCGCGCAATTTTCGTAAAAAGGGATACAAAGTTTTTGCTTCACGTATTAATATTACAGTAATGCAAAGGAAGACAAAGTTAGGCAATCCAGGCGGTTAGCAATCGACATAATTACTTCAGTGCGCCGCGTATGGTACCGGTGACTTGCACCGCAGTCAATGAGATAAACTGACAATTTTCAACAGACTTTTAAAAGAACCAGATACCTCTTTTTATGTATGTATACGAAAATGCAACACCGCGTTTTGGCATACAAAAAAGTTTGCGTAAAGTACATAATGAAATTGCCTTTTTTTATTTATTTTTATTGCTTAGATGGGTGGACGAGCTCACAGCCCACCTGGTGTTAAGTGGTTACTGGAGTCCATAGACACCCACAACGTAAATGCGCCACCCACCTTGAGATATAAGTTCTAAGGTCTCGGTATAGTTACAATGGCTGCCCCACCCTTCAAACCGAAACGCATTACTGCTTCACGGCAGAAATAGGCAGGGCGGTGGTACCCACCCGCGCGGACTCACAAGAGGTCCTACCAGTAATTACGTAAATTATAATTTTGCGGGTTTCATTTTTATTACACGATGTTATTCCTTCACCGTGGAAGTCAATCGTGAACATCAAGATATTAAAGCAAGTTGGGCTCGCTAAACTATATTACATCTATACAGAGTGTTTTACCTAGTTGAATCCTATTCTAATCGTAGTAACAATCACGTAACGAAAAGTACCATGCCCATATTAGTATGGAGCTGAAAGTCAGCAATGCCATGCAATGCCCAAATTGCAGCCCTATGTCATATGATAATATTTTTTTGAAATAATTTTGTTTATTACTTTGATTATGCTCAAAATGTGAATGTGAACATCAACGTTATAAACTTGAGTAAATTTGGGAATATCAAACGTAGAACGTCTTTTGACTTCGCACGGGTAAGTACCACAAGCTTGTCTATTTCTGCTGTGAAGCAGTAACGCGTTTCGGCTTGAAGGGTGGGGCAGCTGTTGTACTGCTAAAACGGGGACTTTAGAACTCTTATCTCAAGGTGGGTGACGGCATTTACGTTGCAGATCCGGTAACTTAAGGCAGTAGGCTCGTCAGCCCATTTAAGCAATAAAAAAAACAGTAAATGAACCACAAAATTCACCTTTATTCTTCTGTTCATTAGATTGTTCAGGGCTGGAAGCGTCTTTTGCTCGCGAGGCGGCCCACCTCCTAAGCTCCAGCCTCTCGTAACCGTACCAGCCAAGAAGTTCGTTCATGGCTGTTTCTGCGAAGTCCTGCAATAAAAATTCAACTTTATTTTTGAAAGATAAGGATTTTTTTTGAAGTCGTTCAATTTCTTTAACAATCTTCTGAAGGCCATTCGATGGGCTATACATGCTGTAAGTGACCGATCCCAAAGGCGAACGATGAGTCTAGTAATGCGTACGAAAACAGAAATCCATATTCATTTACTACACTAAACATAAACATATTATAGCAACTATAGAATTGCAGAGACTTAATCCAACATTCTTTTTTTTTATAGTTACATGGGTGGACGAGCTCATAGGCCATCTGGTGTTAAGTAGTTACTGGTGCCCACAGACATCCACAACGTAAATGCGCCACCCACTTTGAGATATAAGTTCTAAGGTCTCAAGTATAGTTACAACGGCTGCCCCACCCTTCAAACCGAAACGCATTACTGCTTCACGGCAGAAATAGGCACGGTGGTGGTACCCACCCGCGCGGACTCACAAGAGGTCCTACCACCAGTAAATGTATATGTCCAAAGTACACGAGTGCGCGGCGACGGCAGAGTGTAGACAGTCTTGTCTTGATCTGCAGTTGTTCGATTAGTTCTCTTCGTTGTCCAACGTATCCGGAGCATTTCGATACAGATCGAGCTAATTAAAGCGTGTTAAAAAGTTCATACTCGCATCAGAACTAATTAATTTTGTACCGCAGGGTAAATGTCACAAGATAGTGACAAATCAAAGTCACAATGTAATCGTATAATCCTGGTTAATACTTGCGCAGAGAACCCGAAAAACGTTAAAATAAGGATGTGAATTAAATTTGCACGTCACTAACAGCAGTAAAGTGCACACGTACTGGGAAACAATTGTAGGATATTATTAAACATTAAATAATTTGTCCCGGGCTTTATCGAACTTGCGTTTAGTAATCATTAGTGGTAGAGAGTTTCGTAAGTCTAAGTGTTTTTTGGCGAAACAAAAAAAAATATAATTTGCGTAATTACTGGTGGTAGGAGTCCGCACGGGTAGGTACCACCACCCCGCCTATTTCTGCCGTGAAGCAGTAATACGTTTCGGTTTTTGAAGGGCGGGGCAGCCGGTGTAACTATACTGAGACCGTAGAACTTATATCTCAAAGTGGGTGGCGCATTTACGTTGTAAATGTCTATGGGCTCCAGTAACCACTTAACACCAGATGGGTTGTGAGCTCGTCCACCCATCTAAGCAATAAAAAATTAAATTAAAAATAGTCAGGCATTTCGGTATGAAAGGCGAGAACAGCTATAATGTTATAAATGAGACTTCGATGTCTCAAGGTGGGGGGCGGGTATCACGGCGTAGGGGCTCCATTACGCACTTAACACTGAATGGACCGTGAGAGATGTTGAGAGATGTAGAGCTATCTAGCAATAACAAAAATATCCGGTATTTACCTATAGTTTTATTTAGATAATCATAAAAAAATCTAATTGTGTGCTTGATTTTCATAATTTTTTTCCCTGCCTAAGCTGATGGTCTTGAGAGACCATATCAGCGTAACCGGGTGAGTAGGTGAGTAGGGGCTCAAACCTGACGTTGCTATCACGAGCCCTAGCAAGAGCCGTGCTTCGCAGAATCTACCACCGGATCGGAAACACGACCCACTGAGAAGATCCGGCGAGAAACTAAGTGGGCTCTTTTTTTCAGCTTTACCCACGTAACAATATATCGGTGCCTAAATAATCTGGCTATTTTTAATGAGCCCAAATAAAAAGTGATTTACATAATAAAATTCGTGTGACCCCTTTAAAAGTATTTTACTGTCGCCAAAAAAACATTAATAAATTCTCTGAGCACATCTGTAATGACGCGCGGTTTAACTGTTATTTGTGTCAGAAGTGTAATTTTGTATTTGTAATGCTGTATGATAGAATTGAATTGTTTAAATACGTTCGAATTAAACGGTACAGCACTGGTGGGGGATTGTTACCAACATCGTCTGCCAATTTCTGCCGGTTTTTTTTTATTTTTACAAATAAGCAAATGCGATGTCGACCTGAACGCCAATTTATTCGCTAGTGATTACCGAAGTGCATCAGCCGATATCTCTGATTTTGATGTATGGTTTTGAGAGGTGAACGACAGAGGGAAGATCTTCACCTAGTGCATGAAATTGCACAACAGATTTTTAGCCCACTGAGTTTCTCGCCGGATCTTCTCAGTGGGTCGCGTTTCCGATCCGGTGCTAGATTCTACGAAGCACTGCTCTTGCTAGCAACACTCCGGTTTGAGCCCCGTGAGCTCACCTACATGTAAGGGCAAAGCTGAAATAGCCTCTCAAGGCTATCAGCATAAATAGGAAAAAAAAGACAGATTGACGGTCCAAATATTGTTGTTCAGCGCTTTTATATAATAATATACAAACTTATCTTGAAAAAGTCGTTGACGAGATTCAGGCATCTATCTTGTATTGATGGCTACCGCTACAAAGCTTGCTTAAAGCCAACAATTTATTACTTTTCAACCAAGTCGCCAATACGCTCTGAATTGAGTGCCTTCAGTTTTTAAAGTCGGTTAATAAGGTTAATAATTAACTAAAATCCTAACTCAAATACGTTCTCGTAATACAAGATTTAAACAACAAAGGAAAATTTAAAGCGAAACACAGCGAAGACGTGCTCATTACGTACGGTAACCCAATACGTTTGACACACGAGTATCAAAATAACATGGTATTAATTAATACTAGTGCGGTGACAGAGAACAGGCTAGTATTACAAGATGACCAGTTCCCTTCAGATAATTGGTCTCGCGTGGCTTAAAATAACTTTTTCGTGTTTTTAAATTTAAAAACTCATTTAAAAAAAAAAACATTTATAACGATCTTAAGTTTCAGTATGTTCGAGTATCAATTTCGTCTCGCATGATACCCTACAATGAACTATTAAAAAAAATGAATTTAATCACCTTATACACCACTGAGGCATTTAAAAAACCTATACTCCTGTCACAGTAACGTAATATTTAGTTGGTATTCAGTAATATCAATACGGGATAGAGTCTAGTATAAAGTTACTAACACGATCATACGTGGCCCTTTGAGGTAACATGACACTTCTTTCGAAAATATTTAATTTATTTGTATTAACCTACCACATATTAGTCGGGATAACCTTCTATCTGTGTGTATACTATTATATTATTAGTGAATTCTGGAGGGTTTTCTTGGGGATATAGGATTTGGTGGTGAATCGGGCATTTTCAGCGTGACCAAACCGGGCCGAGGAGTTGGTAATAATGTTTTACCCAATAACTATACTATCCAAGGAAAGTATCTAGAAGTACTAATAGCACACGATCCAATTTCATCGTCAGTATTCGTTATTTTATCAAATGCATCAAAAAGGAACCTGCAAACAAAGGCGGTTATATTGGTTACTAGCGACCCGCCCTCGCTTCGCTTCGGAAACATTAAATTTTATTATTGATAGTTGAGTCCCGCGATGTTACCCGCGTTTATTGTCGTACCGCGGGTGACGCCGCGGGGCGAAGCTAGTCTAAAAAAAGTAGCCTAAGTTACTCCTTATATCATCAACTATCTGTCAGTGAAAATCCCGTCAAAATCGGTCCAGCCGTTCCATAGATTAGCCGGAACAAACAGACAGACAGATAAAAATTGTAAAAAATGTTATTTTGGTGTATGTACCGTATATATATTCATATGCATGTAGTAAAAATCGGCTATTTCAATATTACAAACAGACACTCCAATTTTATTTATATGTATAGATGTATAGATTTCGTCACGATAAAATAAAAATCGTTACCACTAAAATTTCCACGGCTTAATCTCGCCTTTTTAAATGTCAATACATAATACTATTGATACTTCCGAAGTTTCAAATACTTTACAGTTGTCGTGGTCACGGATGACTAACAGCCGTATATTCGAAAAATCGTAAATCATATAATGTAAATGATAAACTCGAGATTAAACCGTAAAAGTACTTTTAATTGTGTCATCGACTCGCGGAAACCGAAAAAAAATACTAAATAAAAATCTGTATCGAACAAAATGCGTTTTACCAATATATTATTTTCAGCATTGCACTCAAATAAACTCAAGGAAAAGTCACTAAAAATTAGTTGATGCACAGGACTCACAATTTCTACTGCATTCACACTAAAATAAAAGTTATCACATCATACGGTGATTATCTGAAGTAAAGCGGATATGCGACTGAGACTCCTAGTTTCTACTACTACTTTTACAGCATCTAGTAATGCGCCTCTAATGATACAATCAGTCACTTAATGAGAAACAATCAGCGAAAGCAATAAAGTAGTTCAAAGATAAATATTTCTTCAATTTTACTCTTACTTTCCGCTTACAATAGGTAAGAGGTGGCTGACACGTGTCCAGTGTCTTTGTTTTTCCCACCCATGCTGATAGTTTTGAGAGGCTATATCAGCTTCGCCCTAACGTGTAGGTGAGCTCACATGGCTCAAACCGGAGTGTTGCTAACACTGACCCTAGCAAGAGCAGTGCTTCGCAGAATATACCACCGGATCGGAAACGCGACCCACTGAGAAGATCTGACGAGAAACTCAGTGGGCTGTGTCTGTGGGTTAGTCGAAAGTCGAATTCAGATTGTCTGATATAAGATTTCAGGACTTCTTTTGCTACGGAATATAGTTTAAAAACGTTATTAACCAAAAACAAAATGCGTCTAAAACACGAGCCATATTTTCGCGCTTAAAATTTCCCGACGCTCCCAATGTTGCCAGAGCAATAATTATCGCCGTTGCAAACCCGATACTACACGCAAGCAAGGAACGCACGGTAACATTAAACCGCACGGCCATTATTCAGTTTTAGCTGCCAGAAATTGAAAATCATGCGAATATTATGTAGTACATGGTTCGGTGAAACATTAATTATCTAGTAACTTTAACTATGTTTTATTAATTAGTGGCAGTTCGATTGGCATGTGTTTTCGGATTATTTGAAACATAATAATGTTAAAATTACAATATTTAACATTATTATATTATAA